CAATATTTCGAAATTTAAGGACGCTAATTTACTTAAAATGTATACACCCCGGCTTATCATGTAGCGGTAGCTTTCGGAAAGGTGGAAAACATATATTTAATACTTGCGCCGGGTATTTAATGTTCGGCTCCGCCCGAACTTAGTCTTTCTTACTTGTTTTTTCTTAGATTTTAAACTCTATGAGAAGACTGATAACTTAATTTCCAATACGGCCTTAAAGAAATTCAGTGGACATTTATGGTACAAGTCAGAGGCTAACCGGATTAGCACTCTTAGGTGATGGTGTGCACCTTTCAGTTAAAAGTAAAATGGTGAAAAAGATTTTGACAATTGACAAAGACCTCCCGGAGTGAAACTGCCTCTTCAAGAACAATGGAGGGTTCCGGGTTACAACGCGTAAAAGTAACATCGCAAGACCTCAATAACTGGTTAAAAAAAGATTTTAGCGATTTCGTTACTCTGAATACTATTAAACTCTTTGAAAGGTTTGGACTGGAATTCAGTTTCATACTCTCTTATCCTGGAACCTGGAATTTGCGAAAAGACTTTACAGAAGCTCGCATTTTTTTTTCAAGTTTGAGTATAACTAACGATGTTGCAAAAAGAGGTGTGGCTTTGAAGCAGGAATATATATGGGCCAAGTTAAGTGCGAAGCAAATTTCCAGGAATTACTTATTGTATCCAAGGCCTTACGTTGAGAGTTTTCAACTTGTACTAAAGAAACTTTATCCAAAGACGCGTTTTGAAATTACTCGTATATTGTATAATATTTGAAAAATGTGTTCGCATGGAATAGTAGTTATGTCAGGAAGCTGGCTTTAGTATAATGTGGCATTACCTTTATTCTTTAAACGACATGGATTTTTTTTTATGAGACTTAATAAGAATATTGACTTCCGATACTAGGAACTTATTCTTGAACGTTTATTTGCCAAAAGTACTTCAGCGGCACTGCGCTAGTGAGTCATCCGCGATCGTATGCTGCGAATGCTGCCTTTCGACATAAGCTACAATTGCATACGAGCACAGATATGTACTTTAAACTTCTTGTGGCAGGAAAATCGGTACTATAAGGGACACCCTAACATACATACATATGTACTTAGGTTTGTATATCATATATATATATATGTATATATTTTAGTTGAAAGTACGTTTTGCTCGTCGCTCTCTTCATCGCTCCACTACATTCCTGTCCTTAGTTTTATTCAGATACCATAAATGTATGTAGCGAAACGGATCGAAATAACTTCCGCCTGATATACGTTCCACTATCGAAAACACTTCGAAAAACTGTTTGAAAACGCATGTCGAGAACGAGAGTTCTGCTGAGCGACAGGTAATACTTTTACGATACTTTTTCGGAACCCGTTCTCAATGGTTTTGTAAGTGAGAGTAGCGATGGTAAAAATCTAAAAACATAAGAAAAATATTTTTTTTTTTTAAATTTGCCCGATGAAAAATCCCAACAATCCAAATCTGACAATATATCACTATACATAATTTTGAGGGCCTGTAAATCCACTTTTCACAACATATTTATTCTATCTTTAAAATCTAAGGAAAAATAGTCATTTAAAAACTGATAAATCTCCAAAACCGTAAACGATTTTAAAAATTTTTTATAAAAGAATGCAATAATATTCCTCATAAAGGGATAAAAACTAGTGGGCAGGGTAGGGTTGCCAACATAGTCTAAGATATTTATTTATTTATTTATTTAAGTCTATGGTTTTACAGCACCTTACAGACTAGATAACATTAGACTTGGGACTAAATATAATTTTACCCCAAGGCCAACTTAAAAGAACAGCGACTGGAGAAAACATCAATATCTCTACTTCTGTTCATTAACGCATTGAGTTCACCTAGCATCCTAGAAATAGGCTCACTTTGCGAATATTTGGTTTTAAAGAATTCTACTGAGAAAATATCAAAATACCTTAAAGATCGAACAGGAATATTTGGTTTTTTAAATTGTAGTAATACAGGACATTCAATACTACCATTAAGAATGTCATGTACAAACATGAGCCCAGAAATAGTCCTTCTTCCTGCTAGAGTATGCATATCAATTAACTTACAGCGAGAAATATATGGCGGTATTGGCAAATCAAACTTCAACTGGTATAACGCAAATTTTAGAAAACTCTTTTTACACGCTCTACTCTTTTTGAGTGACTATCAAAATAAGGATTCCAAATGAGTGACGCATACTCCAGTTTCGATCTCACGATAGCATTGCATAAATTTTTTTGGTATAGGGATCTTTCAATTCAGAGCTATTCCTCTTTATGAAATCCAGTGACGAGTATGCCGTGGGAATAATGTAGTTTAGGTGCTCAATGAAGATATTTAACTCATTTTGAATGGTATGTATACCAGAGATAGTTTCTACATATTTAAAAATTTTCAAATGATCCGCATATAGGAGGTGATTACATTGTTTGAAACAAGCACTGGCATCAGTATAAAAAATTAAGAAAAGTAACGGACCTAATATGCTGCCTTGGAGAACGCCCGAAGTAGCAACATATGCATGAGACTTTACACTATCGACTGATACAAAATTGACTCGGTTGACTAGATAGGATTTGAGCCAATCCCGAAACTTGGAGTGAAAGCCAAAACAGCGTAACTTACACAATAATAACCTAAAACAAACTCTATCAAACGCTTTCGATATATGGGTATATATAGTATCAACCTGGCATCCATCGCCAAAAGAAGAGATGCAGTAATTTGAGAATACTGCTAGGTAGGTAACAGTTGAGCGTCCAGGAATAAAACCACGTTGGGAAATAGATATAAACGGCTTAATTGCAAAGATCAATTTAGTACTAACAGCTTTTTCAAACAATTTAGCAAAGTTAGTGAGTTTAGAAATAGGTCTGTAGTTGGAAATTTGGCATTTATCACCTGCTTTAAAAACAGGAGTAACAAAAGCTAATTTCCATTCATCCAAAAAAATGCCCAGTTTGAGAGACATGTTAAACAAAAGTGTAAGTGGTTCAGCAATTGAAGTAATGCATTGTTTGAGGAAAAATGCGGAAATTCCATGAGCATCAGCCTACTTCGAATTACTAAGTTCATTAATCGAGCAAGATACCTCCTCCTCGGATAATTTCAAACCTCCAAAATCCAACGGGGAAGAAAACCCTATATCGCCTAATTCCCCAAACGATGAGAGATCAACTTACTTATCAAAAAAACTAAAAAAAAATACATTTCAAATATATATAGTATTTTATTTAAAAGAAAAAGTAAAAACGATTTTTAACTGATGGAAAATGAAATTATTTTAAGCAAATTTGTTAATTATTTCTCAGTTATGTTCCCCTTTTTTGATTATAACCTCTTTTGCTTATAAACTCACCATGACCTTTTACTTTAAAGAATATTTCATTTAATATTATTATTTCAGAATAAAGGTCATCCATTTTAATAAAAATTTTTTCATGCAAATTACTGAAATATATTTATATTTTGATAGAAGAAATATAGTATTTTTGCGTACTATATTTTTTTCCAATAGTTTATAGTACGCCGACCTGAAAAACAGTACAATACTATATATTGTAGCACGGTTGGCAACCCAAGGGTAGGGTCTTGAAGTTAAAAAAAAATTCATGGGCACCCTAATGTTCATACGTATATAACACTCTACACGCACAAGGCGATTCCCTTTCTGAGTGCCGTACATCTTTGATCTAGATAGCCTATATCTATGTCCTCGCATGCCTTGATATTCAGACGAATTGTTAAAATGGCGAATTCGCAAGAAACCATTCGACCACATCGTTCCAAGGAAGGTATATCAATGCCTTCATTTGGACGGTATTCGAAAAACCTCAGGACTTATTTAGCCAATGTACCTGGCAATTTTTTGTCCTGTAAAATAGCGGAGATCATGGGCGCTCCCATAACATAAAGATATCCTTATTTTCGATATTCTTCAGTTCTAGGGGAGGGAATACGAAAATTCTGAAAAGTTGATATTTCTGTGCATATTTTGATCAACCTATGTAATACATACTTATGCATGTTATTTAAATTTTTCTTTTTAGAACGGAAGCTGTTTGTTGGAATGCTGAATAAGAAGCTAAACGAGAACGACGTACGGAAATTATTCGAAGTTCACGGCCCCATCGAGGAGTGTACGGTGTTACGTGATCAGAGCGGCCAAAGTAAGGGGTGTGCCTTTGTTACATTTGCAACTAAACACGCAGCGATATCAGCGATAAAATTGGTAATTCCTATTGTTTTAGTAATGTTTAGCTAACGAAATTTCAATCAGATTAGCCACTTATTAAAGAAAAAACATTATTTGTTAATCGAAATTGTTTTCCGTTTTTTCACAGACTTTGAATCAAAATAAAACAATGGAGGGCTGCACTTCCCCGCTTGTTGTGAAATTCGCTGATACGCAGAAGGAGAAGGAGCAGAAGAAAATACAGCAAATTCAAGCAAATCTTTGGAATTTAGCATCAAACATAAATATACCAGTAGGTCAGACTTCAACCACCGTTTCAACCCCAGTACTTGCGAATCCGCCACAGCAGGCGAGCCCAGTATTGGGGCCCGAGGCTATTACACCGGCGTCCTTGCAATTGATTCAACAGTTGCAAGCGGTTGGACTGCAACAACAACTGCTGCAAGGTGCGTACCCACAATGGCGACCACTGTTTATGGTCATTTTGTGGCTGAGAGTACTTGTTGGGCGTATACATGTTGCTTCGCTGGAATTAGGTGGTTAATAATTAATTTCAAAATATTCTCTTTGATGCAGGTTTGTGCGCCCAAACGAGTACCACGGACACAGCAACTGCTGCCGCCGCCGCAGCTGGACTGTTACCACCGATGACGATACAAAATTTGGCCGCCATCGCGGCCATGACACAACCCTCTCTAAGCAACGCTGCCACTAACCCGGGAAGTGCGCATATAACAAATACAGCAGCTCTGTTATGTAAGTTCGATCTTCGTGTAAATTTTGTTCTAATATTTTTTTTTTTACCAGGGAAGCAATTTTAAGAACCTTAAAACCTATAAAAAAGGTATAATAAAATACCAGGAAAAGGCACTAAAATCAGCAAAAAAGTACTAAAAATAAAAGGATAGGCAAACAGGCAAATTATGTATATACACAAGACTGCATCACCAAAAAAAGTTGCGGTTTTTCCGTCGGTATTACAAAATGTATTATATTTTAAGACGTCCACCGAAATATTTCGGAAAAATATTAAGATTAAAACGAGCTGGTCCGATTTGAAAGTACCTCCAAAAATGGAGTTTTTTTATGAATAAAAATAGTTTCTTAAAGAACTTTTCGAAAAAAGTCACCTCAGATGACAAAACAGATTAGGCTTAAAAAATCTGCATAAAAATATTTATACATCTTTTCAACGGAATCGTAATAATGAGATTTTTGATGCTGTTTTTTTTTTACTTTTTTCAAAGATTGATTTACGAAAAACTTAAATAACTGGGCCAAAACTATTCTGATTTAGACTTATGGGATCTCGGTAGAAAGGTATATTCCCACTATTTTTATTTATGTGCCAATTTTTTTTCTTTTTTCAAATACCAACACATCTTAATTCAACTTTGAATGATGTTCGTTCATCCTACCTTTCTCTTTAATCCTTTGAATGAGCTTATTAGCAAAGAAATAAAATGGGTGTGAAAATACCAATTATACCTCAAAAGTCTAAATCGGAAGAGTTTAGGTTCAGTTATTCAAGTTTTTCTTACACCATTATTTGAAAAAAGTTAAAAAACAGCATCAAAAATTTCATTATTACGATCTACAAATCGTACAGAGCCAGATTATACATCAAATTAAAGTGCTCGATCTGAGACTTTGCACAAACTTTTCAGATTTAAGATTCATTGAACCATTTTCTAAATATTTGCGTCGAAAGATTTAAAAATTTTTACACTGAGCAAAGCATTGCTACGTTCATTGCGTTAGGGAGCGCCTCAGCGGAACATAAGAGAAATGAATATTGTTCCATTTATTCGCTTTCGTCTCTGGTTTTATCGATCAAATCATTGCTACGTTCCTGAGCATGAAGGTATTCTGGAAACGCCGGCGCTACTGCCCATAAGGTAGATTCCAAAGAGCCATGAGGCTTCTAATCTTATCATGTCATCAGATTATAATTTTATTTAATTCATTCATTGAATTCAAATGTTGAGTGACTGCTGCTGATGATTGGGCGAACAGAAGAAAGTCTATATACAGTATATTTTGCTTAGCTGCCCATCCTTCTTTGCACGAAAAACTTGTGCACTTAACCGAAAAAAGCACTTAAGCGAATTTTCTTTATTACTTCAATGAGGAAGGTATCCGAATCCCTATGAAACCATATAATGGAGGAGCACTTACCACGTGGAAATTACTGCAAGCGAAATTTTTACCGAATGGTATCTAATTATCTATATAACTACATGAATTGATAGCCATTTTCATTGTTCTGCGAGATGAGCAAAATAAATAAAAGCTTGTAAAATTAGGTAATTGTAGGGCCAGTGCAGGTAAACCTAATACTTTCTTTGATAGTTAGTAGCACAGTTTTTAAGGCATGTATCGCCTATGTGCAGGTATGTTGAATGCATCTATCGGAGGAGTTTCCTTATAAATGTTAAAAATAGTGCCGCTAGTGCGCATTTTAGGGTAGGTATCTTAAATGTGCACTTCAGCATAAAGGCAGCAAAGCAAAATATACTGTAGTATATACATTAGGTTTCCCATCGAAAATGCTTTTTTTGACAATTTAAAGATCCTACCCCCTAATTTTGTTCGTTTTTATGAGAAATATAATTGCCTATTTTTATAGAATTTTTAAAGGCCATTTAGAGGTCGCGGCCTGTCGATTTAGGTCAGAAAATACGATTTTCTAGATTCATGAGTTTTTGAATGACTATTTTTGCTTAAATTTCAATGAATTTTTTTAATTTTGTCCATCGATAACTTCCACAATTTGAAAATATGTAGTGCTAACGTACAAAAAAATGATTTTCGATGGGCACTCTAATATACATACATCTCTATGTACTTAACAAATCAGTATGTACTATTTCAATTTAAAGAAATAAAAAAATTTAAAGGTTAAGTTATTGGGGTAATTTATGTCGCTATCAATAAATTTTTGCAATAAGCTTATCAACCGTTATGTTAAATGACGGAGTTCTTACGATTTTTTGCGGGTTATATATTGAAAATAAGGTTGGCCTACTTTTTTCCAAAAGTATAACCCATCAACTCCCACCAGAACGGGCCTTTTTGACACACTGTTTGAAAACTGGCTTATAAATGGTTAACATTTCCACTAATATTTTAAGCGCCAAATTTTTCTAAGGAGAACAGAATGTAATGCAAAATAATAGTAATTTTTACCAAAAAGAGGGACTTTAACTCTGTGTAGAAAATATTGCGATGCGCGGGAGCAAAACCTTCCTGGGGTTTGACCACCACTTAAGAATACTAACGTAAGTTTCACACAGCCACCTAGTTCTTGCATACGTCTGTGGGATCCCAGAATAAAGTAACTTACGAATGTAAAAATTAGCAAAAAAAAGTGTTTGCTTTTTTTAAAATTCTGTTTAAAATATTTAAAAAACACACAGGAAAATCAACTAGTCTTTGTTTTATCTCCAATAATTGAGGAGTTAGATGCAATAAGGGCGCTTCTGTTAAAACTGCTTTCTGAGATATTGGCGTTAAAGGTTTTGATGTGTTATAACAAAGTAGTATTGTTGTAGTATTGAAAAAAAATTTCTACTGCGGAAAAAATCGTCAGATTACCAGTATTCGACCCTAATTTAACTGTAATAAATGCTTTCGATCGAAAAACGTGTTACCTATGTTTTTTCTGAGTTACGCTTTTTTTTGAAATGTTCAGTGGCCCAAATTATGCAAAAAAAAACCCTTTTAAAAATGTAATTTTCATTTCGTAAAATAGTGTTTTTATACGAGTAGTATTTAGTTCCTTCGAGCGGTGTATTTCAATGTGCATACAACATGAAAATTTTGTACAAAATTCCTTAGGCGCCGAACGCCTTTTTACATACAAAATAAAATAATATAAAAAAATATTTTTTTATATTATTTTATTTTGTATGTAAAAAGGCGTTCGGCGCCTAAGGAATTTTGTACAAAATTCCTTAGGCGCCGAACGCCTTTTTACATACAAAATAAAATAATATAAAAAAATATTTTTTTTAAATCAAGCTTTTATTTAACATGTACAAACAAAAGAATAAAATAAAGTAGTGTAACAAAAGATTTTTTAGCAAGAAATTTTTTTAAAGACTTCACTAAAATTAATAAAATAAAATAAGTTAAGCTTTCGTTAATNCGGACTTCTACCACATTGTGGTAGATCGGCCACTTTTTTGAGCATCTACCGCATCTACCACATCTGCCACTGAAGGTCTGAAATCTACCTCATATTCGCGTTTTTGGGNATGTTACTAAAAGCCAAATAGTGAAAGGAGTTACTCAAACTCTAATGAAAATTACTAGCAATTTGTACTGATTTACTTCGTATTTAAAAAAGTACATTTGGGTTGTAGGTTTGTTGTGTATGTGGAGATTCTTGCAAATAATTTTGAAATTTATACACACACACAGAATTTCTACTGGGTATGTATGTATGTAAGTTAACTACCTACAAATGTATATATGTATATCCATACATGAGCGAACTTGCCATACGGAGTTATACCGCGCGGTACTTACCGGTACCTTTATAATGAAAACAGCTCTTATAAAGATTTTATTTTCTTTTATTTTGTTGTTGTTTTTATTTTATCTTAAACTGAAGCATTTTCATCTAAGCTAAGGGCCCGTTGTTGATTTTGTAATTTTAGCAAAAGTCATTATAAACCATTGATTGAAAACGAAAAACGTGGGGCGCATGCAATACAAAGCATTAGATTTTTTTGACAATAGTCAAACTACATACCATAGACATAAAATTTCTGCAGAGAAAGTACAAATTTGAGATCGATTTTAAGCGGTCGTTATTCATATATCCACATTCATACATACATATATTACTATTCATATCAATTCAGGTCTATGACATGCGCCCAACGCTTTGCATTTTCAATCTCATAAATGGTAAGAAGTCATTATATTCTGCTAAAATTTCAAAATCAAAAGTTATCTATACAAATTCTATGGGACTAAGAAATATTATTTTCTAATTTTTGCGTTTAAGCTTTGTATATTAAAAAATTTTATTTTATTTTATTTATTTTCTACTTTTCTGTCTTGTCTGTACAAAATTTTGCAATAGATATTAAAATAATTCAACTTGCAGTGAAAGAGAACAGAAGACTATGCAAGCAAAATGTTGTCTATGGCTATTTAGGCGATTTTGCAACTGGTCGATGGGCAGTTTTGCCAAAACATCGACGATATGTATGTATGCTAGGCACTTATGTTAGCTTTAAATTTTGACGTTTAGGCAGCTCCATATGTTTGTCTTCATCTTAAGCAGGGATCACTCGATTTGTTCATTTTGGCAGGTACAGAGTGGTGTTGTTCGGAAATTCTTTTATTGAGCTGAACTCAAGTTTCTAAACAACACCACCTTTTCACTGCCAAAATGTACAAATCCGTACAAATGTACAAATCGTGTGATCTCCACTTAACAGCTTTTTACCACGCTTTTTACAATGCTTTTCTCAAGTTGCAATGTTGTATGTCCAGACCACCATGTAGCGAAGCTATTTATGGCAAATTCTAGATATCAGCCTAGTCTAGATATGAACCTCGTTGTAGGCTTCATATTAAGGAGATACAATTAGAAGACTCTAGATCAAGGGTGGCCATTTCATAGGCAAAACTATCCTATCTTTTAAGTTGGAACCAACACGACACGGGATTTTTAAGAACGTTGTGAGAAGCATAGAAAAAATGTCGATGAAAAAAAAAATATTTCTTCTCGGGTTCAA